TTTCCCAATGCATTTTCTAACAGAAATTGCTAGTATACTAGAGAACAATTAATTTTGTATTTTTATCTTTTATCCAGTCACTTTGCTGAGTTATTTTATAAACTTTAAAGAAGTGATGTCTTGTTCCCTCAGCTACAGACTGTGAATAAAGAAAGCATCTTTGGTGTAGGGGAGTGAATGACTTGTTTTGGCCCTTTCTGAATCTGTGGTAGCTCCATACATATTAACCCCATCTGTAGGGACAGCTTCCATATATGGCCATGGAAAAGCAGTAACTCAGAGATTTTGAGAGATGAGCCCTTTTCTGGCTTTTCTACTGATGTCATAAAAGGAAAGGGGGAGTCGCTCTTTTTCTGGAAGAGAGTAGCAGGGGCACTGGTGGTAGCCATAGACTGGTCGGCAGTGGTAGTACTCAAGACAGTGTGGCCCTGGGAAATGACAAAGGTACAGCAGGGCCGATTTGTGATGTTCACACCATTGCAACTGTGAGTGTCTAAGTCCCACAAAGCCAGGCATGATCTCAGGTGGCTTTGTGAAGCCTGCAGGGTCGGTGGTGAGCCAGGCCTGCATCTCAGTACAAGACAGCAGAGACCAAGGGCCGGGATGGACTGGACATTGGCTGGGTTGGTGGAGGGAGACCTTCGAGTCAGAGAGAGTCTGAATTCCCTGACCGTGACACCGTTGCAGTTACTTTGGAATATGTCCAGGAAAGCTTTTATTTGAGAATGGGATTCCATTAGTGGGAAGTAGAACATGGCCGTTATGATTGTGGAGTTAAAAAAAAAAAACCTTTGATTTATTCATAGATATTATTATTATCACTGGCTTTCAGGCTTTGAAGAAATCCTTTCCATGTTTTTGGTACCTTGAATGAAGAATTAGACAAGACATACAGAAGAGGTAGCGAAGATTTACAAACAAAAACCAAACCAAAAGAAAAGAAAACAAAAAAACCAGACACACACACACACACACACACACACACACACACACACGACAAGAATCCAAACAAAAAAGAGAATTACAGGCCAATAAAAAATACTCAACAGCACCTGGCAAACAGAATGCAACAAATCAATGAAAATATCATAAATCATGACCAAGGAGGATTAATGCCAGAGGTGTAAGGATAGTTCAACACACCCAAATCAATAAATAAATATCAGACAAGATAAAATAGAAGCAAGGACGAAAAAAAAAATCACATGATCATCACAATAGATGCAGAAAAAGCTTGTGACAAAATCCAATATCCTTTCATGATAAAAATAATAGGTACAGCAGGACCTTATTTCACTTCAATGAAAGCCATTTATGATAGACTTACTGCCAACATCACATTAAATGGGGAAAAGCAGAAGGACAAGGATGTCCACTATCACCATTCCTGTTCAACATCATCCTTGAGACACTAGCCAGAAATCTGGCTAGAGAAAGAAACGAAAGATGTATAGGGAAGGATGATGTCAAGTTATTATTTTTTGCAGTTGACCTGATTTTCTACTTACAGGACACAAAAACTTTCACCAAAAGACTCCTAGAATTAATAACTAAATTCAGCAATATAGCAGGATACAAAAAAACACACAAAAATCAATAGTGTTTCTGTGTACTCATAGAGAACTCACTAAGAGAAATTAGGAAAGCAATACCATTCACAATAGCATCAAGGAAAAATTAAATGTTTAAGCATTAACCTAATGAAGGAAATGTAAGATCTGTACAATGAAAACTACATCACTCTGATAAAAGAGATTGAAGAGGACATCAGAAAATGGAAAGATATCTCATGTTCCTGGACATGCAGAACCAATATAGTCAACATGGCTATACTTCTAAAACTGATATATAGATTTAATGCACTCAATAAAAATACCAATAACATTCTTCTCCAAACTAGAGAAAGCCATCCTAAAATTCATATGGAACCAGAAGGTACCCAGAATAGCAAAAGCAACCCCAGGTTACAAAAGCAGAGCAGAAAGCATTATAATCGCAGATTTGAAGTTATAATACAAAACTTCAGAGATAAAAACATCATGGTAGTGGGCCGGGGATTTAGCTCAGTGGTTTGGTGGCCTGCCTTGCAAGCGCAAGGACCCGAGTTCAATCCCCGGTACCAAAAATCAAACAAACAAAAAAACAAACATCATGGTAGTGGCACAAAAACAGACATGTGGATCAATGGAACAGAGGAAGATGCAGAAAAACCCTGGTACATGCAGCTATTTGAGCTTTGACAAGGGGGCCAAAAACATACCCTGAAGGAAAGGCAGCCTTTAAAATTTATTTTTATTTTTATTTTTTGGTTCTTTTGAGGAAGGGTCTTATTATGTAGTTAAGGCTGGCCTCAAACTTGTGGTGACCCTCCTGTGTCAGCCTCCCAAGTGCTGGGATGACAGGTGTGCACCACCATGCCCTGCTAAGACAGCCTTTTTTTTTTTATTTTAATAAATGGTGCCGGGGAAACTGAATATCTAAATGCAGAAGATTGAGTCTAGACCCATATATTTCACCATGTACTAAACTAAAACTAAAATGGATCAAAGATCCAAAAATTTTTTTTGTTTGTGTTTTGTTTTTTGAGACAGGGTCTCACTATGTAGTTGAGACTGACCTGGAACTCACTAGCTCAGGCTGGTCTCGAACTCACAGGGATCCTCCTACCTCAGCCTCCCGAGTGCTGGGATTACAGGTGTGCACCACCACGCCTGGCCCAAAAATCCAAATGTTACAACAGGAATGCTTAATCTTGTGGAAGATAAAACAGTAAAACTCCTGAAGACATAGGTATAGACAAACACTTCCTGAACAGAATAGCAATAGCCCCCCGAAATACTGCTGAGAACCAACAAATGGGATCATAACAAATTAAAACATTTTTGTACAACCAAGGGAACAAGCAACTCAAGGGAATGGGGAAAAAAATTACCTGCTATCCCTTGGACAGAGAACGAATGTCTAGAATATATGAACAGCTCAAAAAAATTTGACCTCCTCTAAATAAAAGACCCAATTAAAAAACAGGCAACTGAAAAAAAAAAAAGGGCAACTGAAATAAATGGCTACTTTTCAGAAGTACAAATGGTCAATAAATACATGAAAAATGCTCAATGTCACTGGGCCTTTAAAAATGCAAATTAAAACAACACTGAGATACTGTCTTATTCCAGAAAGAATGGCTGTCATCAAGAAATCAAATAATAACAAATGTTGGTGACGGTGAGGGAGGGAAGAAACCCTACTACATAATCCGTGGAAACGCAAATCAGTACCACCCCTATGTAAATGAGGGTGGAGATTTCCCAAAAACTAAAAATACAAATTCCATTTGACCCAGCTATTTTCTTTCTAGGTATCTTCCCAGAAGTGGTAAAATCATCAAATTGCAGGGATGCCTGCATACCCGTGTTTGTAACAGTGCAAATAATAACAGCCAAACCCTAGAAATTGTCTATATGCCCATCGCAGATGAATGGCCAAAGGAAATGTGGTATTTATATACAATGGAGTACTACTCTGCCAGAAAGAAGCATAAACTCGAGGCGGTCATGGATAAATGAATGCACCTTGCACCCATAACAGTTTTAAGTGAAACAGATCAGCAACACAAACTTCAATATCACCCTGGTTCTCTTATATCAGAAACACAAAATATAAATAAAGAGCAAAGTAGAAGTTAAATAATAGGAAGTAGGAAGATCTTTTTCAAATGCAAAGAAGAACAAGAGATAGAGGAGGTTAAAGGAGGGAGAAGCCATGGAGAAAAAATTGAAGGAAAAAAATGGAATAGAGTTTTTTGCTAATGAGAAGTTGACCAAGAGTTGGAAGGATCAGGGTGGAGTGGGAGGGGTGGGGGCCGAAAAATAATTAAGATGTGTGGGTGTCTTAGTTAATTCTCTCTCACTGCTGAGACAAAATACCTGACACTCAAAGCTAAAGGCCAAAAGGTTTATTGAGCTCACAGTCTGTAGAGGTTTCAGTCCATAATCACCTGGCTGCAAGGCAGGGTGGCTTGGCAGATGGGCATCGTGGAGGAGAAACAGTTCATGGTGGGCAGAAGGTAGCAAAGCAACAAGGGATGACTACAGCTCTTTCTACCCCTTGTGTCTTGTCCAGGCTACTCGGGGCCGGCAGCACTCACACCCTTAATCCTAGTGCCCTTGACCCTAGCATCGCAGTACGAATCAATCCCAGCACCGCGCACTCAAGATCCAGCCACCTCTAAAAAAGCCCGCCTGTGGCTGCATGAGGCTTTAGGGGGCATCTAGACACAGCCATAACCATGCGTATGAACCAACTTTCCGCAATAAATGCAGTCACAATGTACTGCCAACATGTACTAATAAAAACACATTAAATTCTCTAAATTCCCCAGGATATAGTGAGTTTTGAGATAATAAAAACTCCCTCATCAGAGGCACGGTCACTGGATGTCAGGTGGGTTCAGCTAACTTGAGACTTGCCAGGGCAGTCCAGGGTTGATCCATCCTGACTGGTCTTTTAGGACAAAAGCCCTGGGGAGGGAGTCTCTAGAAACTATTTCTTCTCTTCCCCTCTGGGCGTATTAAAAAAAAAAACAAAAAAACATTTTTGTTGGATGGGGACATTCACGTTTGCTTTGACATTGTTTTCCCGTGAGCAGAGAGAGAGGCAAGGACAGAAGATGTGCACGGGCCAGGAATGAGACTATCAGGGATAAGAGGGGTTTTCAGGGTTCCCAAGGGACAGATAGGGGCTCACGTGGGTCTCACAGTCCTGAAGGCAGCAACAGGATGGCTGTGGACGCCCCCTGCCCATCCCGTCGTGGACTCCTGGGATTCGTGGAACACCAGGAAAGCGAGTGCACTGAGCAGACCAGAGGCTTCCTGCTCACGGAGGCGAGGTGGGAGCTGGACCAAAATAACCACACAGCACTCAGAGAAGCCACCCCTTCCCACCCGGAGGCCCCTCCTACACAGCCACTCTAAGTCATTTCTAAATTGGTGAAAATTCACAGAGAGAAGAAGCTTAGGACTTGCCGGCGTTTGTAGTAACAGGATGAGAAAGTGCGAGACTTCCTGTTATGTGTGTGTGACAGCAAGTGATAAGTGGAGAGCCCGGCACAGGAAATCCGCTCAGCTCCTGCAGTGTGACCTGCCCGAGACGTGGGAGCTCCTGCAGCCCAGACGTGGATGGCAGGACAAAGGGGCGCCTGGGCCATGGACGACGTGGTAGAGAAGAGCTTGGAAGGGCCCCTGGCACCGGTTACAGAGGAGCCCTCCCAGAAAAGGGGAGATGCGGTGGAAATCTTAAATGAGGAGAGGGTGAAATTTGATGATGCAGAACTCGCCTTAATTCTTCAGAATGGCTTGGAGACCCTGCGAATAGAAAACGCTCTGACAGATGTCATCCTGTGTGTGGACATCCAGGAATTCTCCTGCCACCGCGTGGTGCTTGCCGCAGCCAGCAACTATTTCAGGTCAGCAGGCCTAGAACCAAAGTCAAATGGGGAGGGGGAAGCAAGTTGCGAGGGAAATCTGTGCCCAATCCAAGTAGTTTATGTTAGTTTATCTGTTACGTTTATGTTTATGTAGATACCTATGAAGGCTTGTGTGTCTGCTTGAGACACAAGAAAGGCAGTTATCATCAAACTCTAGATGTCAGTATTTAAGCCACATTTTGACCGAGATTGATTGGCAACATTTAAAAAGCAATGCTGTGTAAGATGGTGAACCTTCTCTGTGTGTACGCCCTTGTTCTAAAGGATGGAAAATTGCTTAAGTCACGGGGATTTCTTTTCCTCTTTCCTTCGTCTGACGAATGTGTCCGAAACACGATGTTGTCTTTGTTCACTGACCGAGGTAGAGAAAAAGGGTGTGGGTGCAGCCCCTCTTTTGGAGTTACCAAGCGATTTGCTACAGATGTGGGGTTCATGTGTGGGGGGAAGGGAAAGCAATCGCAAAAGAGCTCTAGAGGTAAAGAGTCCTTTATGACATTTGGTCACCCGTACGATGGGGACCGTGACAATTACCTGTGCACACTGCTGTGATAATTAAGCACAAGAGTGAAAAGAATCCTGGGCAGTGCCCAGAATACGGTAGATGCTCAATATATTTGTGTTGACATTTTTCACCCGATTCTGCTTCGTTCAGCTAAGAACCATTATTACAATGAATGTTTACCATTAGCAAATCCCTGGAGTAGGGATGAGGGAGAATTATGGGGAACCCAGTGAACACAGTCAGATCTGGCATTGCCCCTACGAATGTGAGCGTGGCAGGGGACCAATCTGTAAGGGCCACGTGGACTAAGAAGGCATTGGGGGAACTTGAAAAAAAGGCCCTTACAATTCTTCATAGTAAGAGTCTTCTTTTTGGGGGGGTACCGGGGATTGGACTCAGGTCCTTGCGCTTGTGAGGCAGGCCACCGAACCGCTGAGCTCAATCCCCGGCCAATTCTTCTTAACTTCTGGTTCAGAAGATCAAGAAGGAAAATAATTACACTGTTCTGGGGACACCGGGGGAAATCTTTCTTTGGAGTTCAAAGAGCAAGGTGCTGCTGTTGTGGGGCTGGGTTGCTCGCACATGTTGGGGAGCAAGGGGGTTTCTGCACTGGAAGGATTCATGCCTGCGGTGCATCCGCAGTCGTAGCTGTGTCATTTTATACTTGCAATGCCGTGATGAAGGTGGCTGGCGTTCCCCTGTGTAGGAGGTGGGATCCCACATGGCCTGTCTGGCCGCCAGAGGAGCAGGAATTCTATTCATTCTAGAAACCCTTGGGTTGACTGCAGTACAAGTTGGAGGTTTTCTCCCAAAGGAAGTGTGTGAAGATAAAGCATAGGCCGACTGTAAACTGGGTTGGCACAGATAAGCGTATAGCTTACTCTCCCAACATTGGTCACTTGCTCTCACAGCTGGTCACATGCTTCTTGGGAGTGAATGAAAGCCAACTTATCAGTGCCCTCGGGACTTGCTTGAGGTTCATTCTTTCTGTTTGGAATCCCTGGAAGATGGCCATCATATACTTGATTAGTAATTTTGTTCACGGGCTGGCCTACCTATGGGACAGGCCTGCTGGCTGTGGGTCCTGGACACCTCACGGCCCTGCCCTGGCCTTTGGGTTTATCCTCCTAACCACATAGTGTGTGGGTTCCACCTGCTGGTCTAGGACACTTAGGGGAGGTCTCTGCCAGTCCCTAGAGCAGGCTGTGGCCATGAGAGGCTGCAGGCACACGAGGGCTATGCAGCTCCTTCCCACACTTCCTGGTTGTGAGGGGAATTCCTTCTGTTCCTTTCTGCAGAGCACTCACTAGATTCCTAGATCCCTAGAGGGATCTGCAGCCTCGTTTCCGTAATGAATACAGTCCTCGAGAAGACAGCATTCTCCTCTGCTGCTAGTAACGACTTATTTGTGGTGTGTGTGGGGGGCCAGGCCCAGTGCCACCTGTGCCGATGCACACCCCGGCCCCGCGAGGTGGGGATTTTATCCTCATGTTACAGACGAGGAGCTGAGGTCCCGGGTGTCACAGTTCGTATCAGAGTAGCCACTCCTGGCTTTGGTGTGGGACTGACACGAAGCCTCCCTGGCATTGCCTCCCTGCTTCCTTGCGTTGTATCTAAGGGTTTGAAAAGGCCTAGGAGCCAAGTTCCTCTTCTGCTTGTACTTCAGAAGGCCAGGGAGGCTGCTGTGTCTGCGAAGCTTCTCACATGGCTCTGTGCTTTGGCGTGCCTGGCAGCTGGATGTAAAATCATGTAGGTTCTCCTCGTCCTCCTCCTCCTCCTCGTCCTCCTCCTCCTCCTTGTCCTCCCTCCTTCTCCTCGTCCTCCTCCTCCTCCTCCTCCTCCTCTCATTGAGAAAACCAGCACTTTCTGCTAAGTAACTGACCATGGTTTATTTAACTCAGCTGACAGTCATTTGGAGCGCTTCTAATCCCTTGTCATTACGGTCAGTGTTGTAGGTATAGCCTTGTTATAAATCATTTCATATGCACGCAGGAGTGCCTGGAGATGCACTCGTGGGAAGGGCTTGCCAAGCCAATGCATCCTCAGTCTCAGTGGATACGACCAGGTTCTTCTTGATGGGGGTAGAGTCATTTTGCCTTCCCCAGGGCCTTAGTAAAAGAGGACAGCATGTAACAGATGATTTTAAAAATAATACATTGACAAATTATAGCTGTGCATATTTAAAGGGTACGAGAGGAGCTATGATATTTGGATATAACAAGGAGTAACCAAGTCAAGCCAACCAACCCATCAAACCTTTAACATTTTTGGCGACGGGAACATCCAAGATTCTTGTTCCCAATGACACTGAGGTGTGCGGTACCGTGCAGCGCCTCTCAAAACAAAACTCTAAAACCCACAGACCAACTTACTTCTCCTGTCTAACTTGTACCTTTTGATTAGCATCTCTCCCTTTCCCGCCCTGTCTGCAGTAATCATTGCTCTCTGTTTCTATGACTGCATTGTTTTAGGTTCCTTGTACAAGTGAGAACTTGTAGCGTTTGTCTGTCTGGCAAACTATTGAATTTTTGTTAGTCTCATAGGTAAGAAAGAATATCTCTATTCAGTTTTAATTTGCATATCTCTTATTTTACTAAGGTCAAACCTCTTTTCATGCGTTTGAAGTTCATTTTCTTGATAACTATCTCTTCCTATCTTTTTAAATTTTCACGTGCAAGTTTTAAAATTCAAACTTATTTGTATCCAAAAAAGGCATGTAAATAGTTCACAAAAAGTTAAACAGTGTTATGAAATCCAAAAATTCCTCTTTACTTCTTCTACCCTTTAGTCCTATTCACCAGAGACCATTTTAGATTTCTAGCTGTTGCTTCTGGTGCCATTCCTATATTTCTATGCTCTTTGTTCTTTCTGGGTTTCTCAATATTAGCTATCATTTATTTATTCCAGATAAAAGATCAAGCACTTATAACTAAGTCACTTACCATACTCTATGTACCCTTTGTCTCTCAACATAATTTTTTCCCTCAGTGTTTTCAGAGAAGATCTTGCTGATCTTGAACTCACCATGTAGCCCAGGCTAGCCTTGAACTTGCGGCAGTTTTCTTGCCTGAGCCTCCAAAGTTCTGGGATTACAATGTGCCACCATGCCCCACTTAAAGATAATGTTTATCATACAGTTTTGCTGAATATGTAGTAAGAGTTTGCATGAGCTGGGTGTGTGGCACATGTGTGGAATCTCAGAACTCTGGGGCTGAGGCAGGAGGAATGTAAGTTAGAGCCCATTCTGGGCAACTGAAAGACCCTGTCACAAAATTAAAAAAGAAATTTAAGGCTGGAGATGTAGCTCAGTGTAAAGAGCTCAATCCTCCATACCTAAAAAAAAGAATTTTCATCATTATGTTCAAGAAAATAGTGTTCCCTGTTGGGCCAAATAACATGATGTTATAATACATCTTTCCTTGTAACCTTTTTTATTTTTCCTAAAATTAATAATTCTCTCTAGGCTGACCATGTAGCTCAGGGTTGGGGTGCTTCTCTAAGGATGCGCAAGGTCCTGGGTTTCATCTCTGACACTACAATATAAGTAAATGCGTGATGAAGTACATTGGCTCTGTCTTCCCTTTGCTTAGCTTTTGGAGTGCCTTCTCATCGCAGCCTCTCCCGAGGATCTTTCCTGTGGGCTAATCCATCCCCGGACATTCCCTCACGTCCCTCGGCCCTCACATGTTCTCTGGATTTTCAAGCCATTCCTGTCCACCTGCTGACCCACATTCCTTATCACACAGAGGCTTTCTCCTTCCATCCTTGTCTTTCTTATGTGGCTAATAGAAGTCTGATGTCCTTCTGATTTCTGATGTTTTGTCTGTAATCAGTGTTTTCTCTCTAGAAATTTTTAAAAATTTCTTTTAACATTTTGAAGTTTCATGATAATGTACTCTTTGTATGTGTGTGTGTGTGTGTGTGTGTGTGTGTGTGTGCATTTTATTCCAGCCATTGAATACTTGCATAATTTAGTTTAAGATATTTTCTTGTATTATTTCTCTGCTAATTACTTGTTCACTTCTTTCTTTGTTCTCCATTTCTGAATCACCTGCTAAGCAGATATCACTTCCAGAACAATCTCCTTCTCTCTTATCTTATCTTGTTTACCTTCTTTTTTTGTTTGTTTGTTTGTTTTTTTTTTTTTGGTACTGGGGATCAAACTCCGGTCCTTGCACTTGCAAGGCAGGCAGCGGAGCCACTTGAGCTAAGTCCCCGGCCTTGTTCACCTTTTTCTTTGGTTTATTTTCTGGATGATTTACCTCAATTTTATCTCCCAATCTGTTGGGATTTCGGGTTTTTTTTTTTTTTTATTATTTCCAAAGGCATTTTCTTATTTTGAGCGTTCATTTGATAACATTTTGTTCTTGTTTCGTGTAGATTATACTTTTCATTTCTTTGAAGTTTACATATACTTGAAAACTTTTTCTTCTGTTTATTGTAATGTTTGTGTTTTCTGTGCATTTCCTTTTCTCTT